ACAGACATGTAAGACTGCGACACAAAACCTTTTATATCATTACTGAGAGAAATTAAAACAAGTTCATGGAGCCAGAAAACAAGAGCCTACAGCCAGATCTATTCAGCCTACATGTGATTTATAAAGACTGAGGGGCTTGTGTGCTGAGAATTGTTTCTACATTTCTTTTTCCCTGCAGTGAGAATTGTTTCTACATTTCTTTTTCCCTTTTTCCCAGGGTCTTGCACATGCTAATCAAGTGTTCTATCTCTGAGCTACATCCCAAAATATATTTGTTTATATTTTTAAATAGTTAAGAAGTACCTACATTATATTGTCAAATTTGTCTCTTGGCCCTCAAAACCTGATGTTATCCAGTTCTTGAAGAAAACAGTTTCTTGACCCAGAAATTTCCAAACCTTGCACAGTTGGGTCTGGATGCTGTTCCGCAGGCTCTGGATGGGATTCTTTGTCCATAAAGAGACTGGCATCATTTACAAATGTGGCTGTGGACTTCACAGGGGAAGAGTGTCAGGACTTGAGTGATGCCCAGAGAACCCTGTACAAGGATGTGATGCTGGAGACCTAAAGTGGCATGGAGTCCTTGGGGCACTGCATTACCAAACCTGAAGTTCTCTTGAAGTTGGAGCAAGGAACAGAGTGCCATGACGGTAGAAGAACCTCCAAACCCTAGCATCCCAGATGTCCACACAGCTGATGACTTAATTGAGAGATTAAAAAAAAAAATCACAGAAGACATTTGTGGTGAGTTAGAATTACCACCAGCAACACAGAGGAGAGAGGTGAATTAGGAAAAACAGCATCACAAGATTCAAACTGGACGGGCTGGGGATGTGGCTCAAGCGGTAGCGCGCTCGCCTGGCATGCGTGCGGCCCGGGTTCGATCCTCAGCACCACATACAAACAAAGATGTTGTGTCTGCCGATAACTAAAAAATAAATATTAAAAAAAAAAATTCTCGGGCTGAGGATGTGGCTCAAGCGGTAGTGCGCTCGCCTGGCATGCGTGCGACCTGGGTTCGATCCTCAGCACCACATACAAACAAAGATGTTATTTCTGCCGAAAACTAAAAAATAAATAAAAAAAAAAATTCTCTCAAAAAAAAAGATTCAAACTGGACTGAAACCTGTTGAATGTACTAGAAAAGGGATAGCCCTCCACATGGAGGCAGAATTATTAACACATAAGAACATGCATAAGGGGAGACCTATCAATATACTGAATCTGGGAAAGCTTGTGATAGAGGGAAGAAAACTTTCTGTAAAAAATCTAACCCCACAAAACATCAGCAAATACACAAAGGGAAGAAACCCTATGAAGGCATCAAATGTGAGGGGAAAGATTCATTAGCAAATCAGAACTCAGAATACAGAGAATTCACACAGGAGGGAAAAAAAGAAAAAAACTATGAATATCACCAATATGAGAAAGTCATGGAGGCCTTATTGCCTGTCAGAATTCACACAGGGGAAAGCCCAGGAAAACCTTCTGTCACAAGGCTTCTTTCTGTACAGCAGAGAATTCACATAGGAGAGAAGCCCTAAGAATGTAACAGGGACTAGGGGTATAGCTCAGTTGGTAGAGTGCTTGCCTTGAATGCACAAGTCCCTGGGTTTGATCCCCAGCACCAAAAAAAAAAAAAGAAAAAAGAATGTAACAAATGTGGGGAGACTCTGACCCAGGAGCCTAACCTCAGGCACAGCAGAATACTGCCACTGGGGAAAGCCCTGGAGATGCAATGGGTGTGGAAAAGCATTCTCTGTGACAGCCACCCTCATTTCACATCGCAGATTTACACACAGAAAACTCATGAATGTAATGAATGTGGAAAATTCTTTCACCAGGAGTCACATCTCAGCTGACATCAGAGAACTCACGGGACAGAAACCTTAAGATTGTAACAAATGTGGAAAAATCTTTGGTATGAAATCACACCCCAGAAAACATCAGAGAAACAGTCTAAGGGGAAGGCCTGAATGGTAGAAGCTATATGTGCACTAAAATTCATTCTCTTTTCTCTGGAACACATACTTACCCTCCATTTCTCAGCCTCTCTTTATGAGTGGCACAAAGTAACAGTCCTGTCAAGGTAAGTGCAGGTATAAGTGATGGGCATTACTTCCAGGACTGGCCCACATAAAAACTTGAATGCAGTCCTCCTTGATTTCTTATGATCTCTGGGACTGAAATGCAGATGACCCCCACAGAGCCTTAGGAGCCACAGGGAGGAAAAGTTCACCTTGATTTAAGGCAGAAGGAACTGATCAGATAGAGCAGAGATTTCCCCACCTCTCCATTTTGTCTTTTTTTTTTTTAATATTTATTTTTTAGTATTTGGCAGACCCAACATCCTTCTTTGTGGTGCTGAGGATCGAACCCGGGCCGCACGCATGCCAGGTGAGCGCGCTACCGCTTGAGCCACATCCCCAGCCCTCCATTTTTTCTTTATGTGAGTCAGAGGTAAATACCCTGTTTAGCCATAAAGAAAAAAAATCTGCCAGGCGGGGTGGCGCACGCCTGTAATCCCAGTGGCTCAGGAGGCTGAGGCAGAGGATTGTGGGTTCAAAGCCAGCCTCAGCAAAAGCGAGGCCCTAAGCAACTCAGTGAGACTCTAATACAAATACAAAATAGGGCTGGGGATGTGGCTCAGTGGTCAGATGCCCCTGAGTTCAATTCCCAGTATCTCCCCCTGAAAAAAAGAAAAAAGTTTATTGACTCCTAAAGTTATAAAGATGTCAGCTTTCCCCAAACTGGTATATAAATTTAATAAAAATCACAACAACAAAAAACCAACTGTCGTGTGTGTGTGTGTGTGTGTGTGTGTGTGTGTGTGTAAAATTCAACTAAATTGACTCTAAGAGTTATAAAAATACAGAGAACCAAGAATAGGCAAGACAGTCATGGAGAAGAACAGGTAGAAGAATTTCTTTATTGGACGGATATTGTAGCTCGTCACAAGGAGAGGCAAACAAACAAATGGAACAAAATAGCTTAGAAAGAGACCCACATGTATGGTCATTTGGTTTACAGTACAGGTAGGGGTAATGACTTGGAGAGGGGCACATGAAGGAGGCTTTTGCAATGCTGGTAATGTTCTGTTAGTGGTTTTATATTGGGTTGCTGAGCTGTACATCTTTTGTACACTTTTCCAAGTAGATATTATATTTCCATAATAAAATTTTTTAAAAGAATGTAAACATTAAGAATGTATAGAAAGGGGAGTGGGGTTGTAGCTCAGTGATATAGTGCTTGCCTAGCATGCATGAATCACATTTTTCTCTGGCAGACTCTACTAGCTGGTGGAATGGATGCTTAATGAGGTGAAGCAAGGAAGAGATGATAGTGTTGAGTTTAAGATTTTTTTTTTCAGTTTATGACTAGATAGCTTCACATTAATCACTTATATGCTCACCTTTAGTAGGGATGCAACATTTGAGTTGTTTTGCTAGGGGCAGTGACAATCAATGAATAACCATGTCTTGCCTATGTATATACAAGGGTTTTCAAAGCACTTATTTGAATGTTCACCCACAGACTCTTTCCTTATACCCTAACCACAAACATCCACTTTAGAACTGGCAACCTCATAAAACCCAGTTCCAAGAATGAAATCGAGGAATACTTTGCAGTTTGAAATTAACTTTTGCACCATGGACTTAAACCTCCCAGAGTCACCTGAACAAGCACTGAGTTTCAAAATGTTTCAGGACAATTTTGAGTGGCATGATTAGAATCTTGTGGAAAAAAATGAGTGTAGGAATCCAGGGAGCAGGTAGTCTGAAGTTGCAGTGACTTTGAGTCTTCTGAGCTCTATCAGCCCAAAGTCATTTGGACTGCTGATTTTCCTTTGGTAGTTCAAGTCTACAAGCCTGACTCAGATAAGCTGGGTGCAGTAACCTTTTCACTAGGAAGTAAATGCTAGGAAGTGATGACATTCCTCTGGAATATGCTACACAAAATCAAGGGTAATCATTTGTGGGGTAAGGTATTCAATCATTTGATAAAACCAACACCAATTAACCCTCCCAGACTAGGAAAGGGACTAATTTGTTATGCTTAGACATTAGATATACACTGAGGTAAAACCTCTTCTCAGCCAACAAACAATTGGAGGATGGGAACATGTGCATGTGCCTTTTAGCATGGAAGAATATAAAACTAACATTGGAAAAAAACTAATGTTTAAATAACATCTAATCGGATCACCCCTCTGCTCAGAAACCCTCAAAGGTGTCCTATAGCCAGTGGGATTATGGTGCGAACTCTTCAGCCTTGCACTCAAGGCCCCTCCTTGCTTTTCCATCTTCCTTCCCCAAGTCCCCTTCAGGCTGCTTTGGCCAGCCTGGACCTCTTGCTCTTTTAGGAATTTGGATAACCTGAACCAGAGCAATTTCCCCAATTAAACGGGAAGTAAAAATTCTGCTATAGGCACCTGCAATGTTCTTTCCTACATCTGTCTGCCCGCCGCCCCCTCCCAGAGCTTCATTTTACCCGACTTTAATACTCGCCAGGCCCTGGTTTCCATCATAGCCTCTTTCCTCCTCTAGCGGTTTTCGAGCTCAAGTCTGCACCATCCTCCGGAGGATGCACTTTTCGAGTCAGGTCTGCGATGTTACTGGAGTGAAGTCTTGAGGCAAAAGCAGAACGAAGGTATGTCCCCCCAAATTGAACTTCTCTCACCAAGTATACACTCCAACAGAGAAGAGGGTCGAGCTGGCCGGTCGAGCTGGCCAGATTCCATAGGAATCTCTCGATCTCCGAGATTTTCCCTCCCTGTGGCTTTACAAACTGCCCAATGGCCAGCTGCGGCGGGGATAGTTCGTGCGAGGCCGGCCAATGGCGGGCAGAGGGGCGGGCCTCGGTTGAGTACTGGCCCAGTGAGAGACGCGCAGCGGGGAGGTCCTTGTCGGCTGCAGCCCAATGGGAGCCCCTCTGGGTGGGGCCTGGCCGGCGGCTGGGTGGGGCTATATAAACCCGGGCTGCTGGCTGGACTCCGGGATTCGTGGTGGAGCTGGAGACTCGTAACGCGTCTGCAGTCAGCCACTCTCCACAAGCTTTACCTATCGGAGCAGCCATGGTGAGGGGGAGCTGGGGGCGCTCGAGGAGTCCACGGTGAGGGTGCTGCTTGCGGGGGAAGCTGGGGTCCGTGGCAAATTGGGCTTCGCGGGAAGGAGGAACGCCCAGGCAGTCGAGAGTGTGGGTGGGCTGCGCCAGGATGCGAGGGGTGTTTGGGTGGTGAGGTGAGGGACGCCCGGGGAATCCAAGCACTGCTTTTCTGGGCCCCTTCCTTATGGGAGGCGGATGCGACCGAGGAAAGTTCTGAACGTTCCGAGAGCACTACCGACTGGCCAAAGGTGAAGCGCCCGGCGTGGGGCAGGCAGGGCGAGAATGTGGAATGAGCTCTTAAGTGACTTAAGAGTTGGCTCCGCGGTGAAACGCGCCCTGTTGTCCGGAGCGGACCTAGGACCCGCCCCAAATTTCTCCCGCTGCAGTCCGGGACAAAGAGGTGCCCGCCTCTAGCTGCAATCCCCGCCTCCCGTAGAGAGCATTCTCCCGCGCAGAAGGATGGACCAGGAATGATTAGGGAATTCCAACAGGTTTCTCAAGTTGAGAACCCGTTTCCTGAATGCCTTTGTCTCAGGCGGCCGGCTCAGGCCAGAAGTCCACGCCTTTTGGCCCCATTACCTGACCAGGGGTTTCTGTATGCCCCTGGTACCTGGGGAATAAAAAGTTCTTTGCTCCAACTTCTCTATTTTGGTGTTCAAGGGCATGAGATTCCCTCAGTTAAAACTGAGAACTTGGTGTGTCCAAGTCCTCCGTAGGAATCTCTTGATCCTCATATCTGCCTGGAGCCCCCTTGAAGGCTCTGAGGCTACCTTTGAAGATAGTTCCTAAGACTGCTAAACTGTTGCTACCGTGCTCCTAGAAGGTCCCCTCTACATCTGGGAGGCACTCGTCCCTTTCAAACTGTCAGGACTCTAGGTTGGGGGGTGAAGGACCAGAAGGGAAGATTTAACAATCGTAGAATGTACATCAGAGAAGACACTTGAAAGGTGGGGCAGGTCCCATCATTGGGACTCTCAGTGGTACTTCCTTGGATTAATCTATCTGTACTAAATGGATAGTGACAGTGTTTAGACAGGTAATATCCCCTGAAAAGGGGAAAATTGTAAGTGAACTTTCAAAAGCCTGACTGTAATTGCTTTGGTTAATTCACAGTTCTGAATTTCGTCTTTGCCCCTTCAGCATATGGAGGAGATAGAGAGCCACCTCTTCTCCCTAGAAACCAGTATTTTGAGCCTAGTAACTCCAGATGGGTCCATCTTGAAATTCAGGACTCTGAGCTTTTCCCAAGACACCCCAGCCAGCAGAAAGGGCACTTTGCAGTGAGATATGGCTGCTAAGTTTTTACTTTCTCCAGTTACTAACCCCCAAAGACCTAAACATAATCACTTCTGAAAGCTTGGGAAGACAACCCTGTCCTTTGGGTTATATACTAGGAAACACACAGCTGCAGCCTTCAGGGGGGTGGAGAGATAAGGGGTGCTTCCAGGGAAGGCTTTTTTCCAATGCCTTCTCACTCCCCACACTGCTCACAGAATGTCACTCTGTTCCCCAACAGCGTGAGTGCATCTCCATTCATGTGGGCCAGGCTGGGGTGCAGATGGGCAATGCCTGCTGGGAGCTCTACTGCCTGGAGCATAACATCCAGCCTGATGGCACCGTGCCCAGCAACAAGACCCTGGGGAGTAGTGATGATTCCTTCAACACCTTCTTCAATGAGACAGAGGCTGGCAAACATGTGCCCAGGACTGTCTTTGTGGACCTGGAGCCTGCTGTCATAGGTATGTGGGAAATCTGTATTCTTGCCAGCCCAGAGTAAGTGGAATGCTCTGCTTAGGGGGAAAGCACTTGGAATGCAGGCAAGAACAACACTGGAGTCTGGAGTGTTGCTAAATGCTGTCTTCAGAAGAGGACTCAGAGCTCCCTGTGCTGAAAGGGAGATCATTTGCACAGCTCTGTCCAGAAACTGCCAGATATCTGAGTCACAGGTCCGACACAGAATGAATCCTGCAGAAAGGAATGGATAACAACAGACCTGTTAAACTTCCTTTTCCCTACCCTCAGGCTTGTGATAGTATTGCCTAAGAACCCGGGAGCTGAGAACATTCCTAATAGCTCCCTGCTTAGCCTTGCCTGAAATAGGCCCCTACTAGGATGTGGGCCCCTGAACTTGGCTGTTGCTAGCTCCCTTGGGCTTTACTGCTTCCTCCCTTCTGCATCTGGAGCTCCTTAGTTTCCTGTTTGTGAAAATTCTACCTCTCCCCCATCTTTCTAAAGATACTGTTTTAGATGTGAAACTGGAATGTTTTTTCTGCTCTAATCTATATTTTTTACCCCACATAAAAGTTAAATGAAATTCCTCTGAACACTGATTCCTCACCAAGAAAAGAAGTGGCTATGATCAGAAGGAACTCTTAAAGGTGTCCCCTGACTTCCCCCTCAGGCCTAGGAAGTGGCTTCTGGAACCTCATGTGTCCATCACTCTTGTGATGGGAAGCTTAGCAGCAAAGGCTCTAGGTCCTTTTTGTCCTAAGCTTAGGGAATGAGAACAGCCTCTCTTAACCTTTGCCCTCTCTCTTCCCCTCAAGATGGGGTAAGAACTGGCATTTATAGGCAGCTCTTTCACCCTGAGCAGCTGATATCTGGCAAGGAAGACGCTGCAAACAACTATGCCCGAGGCCACTACACTGTGGGGAAGGAGATCATCGATCTGGTACTGGAGAGAATCCGAAAACTGGTGAGCATGACCAGGTGCCCCTGGCACCTGCAGGAGGTCATGGCATCCTTAAGCTCCCTTCCTGGCCGGGGGAGCTGAACATGTACTGCCAGAAGTGGAACCACCCTCTATGGCTGTTACCTAATATCATTCCTCTCACATGTCTACCCAACTTCCCCTAGAGGGAGCTGTGTGTCCTGTGCTGGGTGTGGATTTAGGGTGGAGGGTGGAAGAACTTGCTCTGTCCTGAGTTTGTGGACTCAGACTTCTGTCCTGCTGGTTCTTGCTTACCAGGTCTGACTCTCTGGTCCAAGCCTTCTTTGAACTTTGATCTGTCTCCACATCCTCCATAGCAGCTTAGTGTGTTGTTATTAGACTCCTGTGCAGCTCTTGCTAGCTGGTAGAGGTTTCTGCTTAACTCTTCACCATTTCTCCAGTTTGCCCATCCCCTGTCCAAAGGAGTGAGGCCAGCTGGGAGCCAGTATTTTAGCTGTTTCTCTACAGGGTTTGTCTAGACATAACTTTCTGTTACTCAGTCGAGGCTGAGGACTCGGAATGACTCGAGGAATGGGATTCTGTGCCCCCCTCCTCAAGAATGAAAATTAAAGCGTTCCCTAGGATTAGGCCTTTATTATAATGTCATTGCCATGTATCTGTTGTAGATTGATAACTTTTCGGGTCCAAGGAATAGCTACATCAGAATCACCAAGGGACTTGGTAACCTACAAGTTCCTGAGTTCTTATCCAAAGTGGGGCTTGAGAATCTGCATATTCCGTAGGATCCCTCCACCATTCCCAGTCTTCTGCAACTATGTGGCAAAACAACAGTGAAGCTGGTCCAGCTCTCTGACCACAAATCCTGTGCCCCACCCAACCCTCGTTTCCCCTATACCCCTCACCCCTGCACCGCACACACAGCACTGTCTTCCTAGCTCAGTGGTCTGTGGAGAACTCCAAGCCTCTTGTAGATATTCTTTTCTCACTATCCTGGAGGTGATGCAGAAGGGAACCTTTGGGAGATAATAGTAATTTCTGATTGGTTATATAGGTTCGTGGACTTGTCAGATCATTTTATGTATAAAATGTATTCAAGTATAAATCATTTCAAATTTTTAGAATATAAAAGTGAGTGCCATTGTAGTTGGGTAACAGTTGCTTTGCAGACAGGAAAGAGCTTCCTGAGGGGAGGGATGGCGGCATGCAACAAGCCATCTGTATCCTTAACGGTGTTACTTCCTATTCCAGACAGACCAGTGCACTGGACTCCAGGGCTTCCTGGTCTTCCATAGCTTTGGAGGTGGCACTGGCTCAGGCTTTACCTCTTTGCTGATGGAGCGGCTTTCTGTTGACTATGGCAAGAAGTCCAAGTTGGAATTTGCTATCTACCCAGCCCCTCAAGTGTCCACGGCGGTTGTAGAGCCCTATAATTCCATCTTGACCACCCACACCACCCTGGAGCACTCGGACTGTGCCTTCATGGTAGACAATGAGGCCATCTATGATATCTGCCGCCGCAACCTGGACATCGAGTGCCCAACCTACACCAACCTCAACCGGCTCATTGGCCAGATTGTGTCCTCCATCACTGCCTCCCTGCGTTTTGATGGTGCCCTCAATGTGGACCTCACGGAATTCCAGACCAATCTGGTGCCCTACCCCCGCATCCACTTTCCCCTGGTGACCTACTCGCCCATTGTTTCAGCTGAGAAGGCCTATCATGAGCAGCTCTCCGTGTCAGAGATCACCAATGCCTGCTTTGAACCCTCCAATCAGATGGTCAAGTGTGACCCCCGCCATGGCAAGTACATGGCCTGCTGTGTGCTCTATCGTGGAGAAGTGGTGCCCAAGGACGTGAGCGCAGCCATTGCCTCCATCAAGACCAAGCGCACCATCCAGTTTGTAGACTGGTGTCCTACAGGTTTCAAGGCAAGTTGGGTGGGGGAGGTCCCATTCACCTGGGACCTGCGTTCCTACAGAGAAAGATTCCTATAGAGTTGTAGGCATAAAGGACAACGCACTGGGGGTGGGGAGAATAAGGCAAACAGCAGTTCTATGGCTCCCTGTAACTGATAGGTCTCAACTGGTCTAGAATTTTTTGGCCCAGAAGCCAGGGTGGGTTCTACTTAGAAGACTGACTTCATGAAAGGAAAAGTATCTGTTTTGTGTCACTTAGGCTAGCAAACAGGCATTCCCTAGACGTGCCAGTCAAGTTAGGAAGACGGGCCTCCTTGTTCACATGTACCAAGGATATAGCCACAGGACACAGCCTGTTCAGAAGGGATAGCTTTTGGAAGCACAGAAAAGCCCACCACCAGATTTTGGGAGAACCATAGGTCAGAAAGCTTCTGGAGTTCTGTGCCTGTGAATGTAGTCACTTCCTTTTGCAGTGAAAAGCTACTCATTTAGGCCCCACCCTATTGTCGTTCACATTCCCAAGGTACTGGGCATATGACCTAGTTTAAGTTTTATGGACTTTGCTCTAGGGTAAGACTCAGGAAAAATTAAAGGTGGCAGCTATGACATTAGAAAACATACAGCCTTCTTACCCTATGACACTTGTAACCAAAACAGTCAGGGATGTGATGACTGCTGATCATAAAGGTAATAATAGCTGCTTGCTAGTATTAGAATGCTGTAGCTCAGTATGCAAAATGAGGGGTAGTATGCAAAATGAGGGAGCGAGGCAGACTATTTCTTTCTTCCAAGAACATATACTCAAAGGAAGAAATAGACTGTTTTCAGGAAGTGGTAGGCTTGCTGTCACTAGAGACAATAATGGGAAGTCGACCATTTTGTGGGGTGGGTGAGCACTGAATATGAAATATATTTTCAAATTCCTGTTGGGTATTTTTGTTTTGTTTTGGCAGTACTAGGGCTTGAATTCAGGGGTGCTCTACCACTGAGCTGCATTCCCAGCCCTTTGTATTATTTCAAGACAGGGTGTCATTAAGTTTCCTGGGCCGGCTTTGAATGCAATCCTCCTGCCTCAGCTTCTCCAGTCACTGGGGTTACAGGCATGCACCATGCACCCAGCTGATCAGTGTTTAAAGTAGATTAGATTTAGATCCAACAAGAGTCTTTAGGATGTTCTATTTTTTATTTTTATTTTTTTTAACTATTGAGTTTCTACACTATAGGAAAAGACACTAGTAAAATGAACAACCACATGCCTGCTACACGGTTTTAACATCTAAATATATTTTCTTTATTTTTGCTTTGCTGACCCACTTAACCCCACTTCAGTAGCAGTATAACAAACCCATTTTTATGCCTCATGAGATTAATAGTACTTCCCCCAAATAAGAATACCTAATCAGTTAAGGGGGTCCTTGTACAGACCCCTCCCAGGGCACAAAACCAGGTAGTTAGACTACTTTCTGTTTCTTCTTAGGTTGGCATCAACTACCAGCCCCCCACAGTGGTACCTGGGGGTGACCTTGCTAAGCTGCAGCGGGCAGTGTGCATGCTGAGCAACACCACAGCCATCGCTGAGGCCTGGGCCCGCCTCAACCACAAGTTTGACCTGATGTATGCCAAGCGTGCATTTGTGCACTGGTATGTGGGTGAGGGCATGGAGGAAGGAGAGTTCTCTGAGGCCCGAGAGGACCTGGCTGCCCTGGAGAAGGATTATGAAGAAGTGGGCTCAGAGTCTATGGATGGCGAGGATGAGAGCGAGGAGTTCTAGGGCTGCCTGGCACCTGCCACATCTGGTATCTCGCTCCCAGTTTTTTCTCTAATTCCAGTGTCTCTCCAACACCCTGCAAATATAATTGATGTCTCCAGTGGTGTGGGTTTCTGATGTGGAATTCTGTACAGGCAGAGGGCCTTCCCATTATCATTTATCATCCTTGCTGAAGGGGAAGGTTCGTGATGACCTCCAGGGACTCCAGCTAGGGATGTGTGCAGGAGGGTTGGCACTGCATCATTCTGTTAGCAGACTACCCTGAAAATATGCACTGGTTCAGCCCTGGGCTGGCCTGCTTCAACTTCATGTGGGTCCCTCACTAAGTTGCTAAACTGGCTTTGAACTCACCATCCTCCTGCCTCAGCCTCCCAAGCTGCCCCCAACATTGTGGGGCAGAAGTTGCTCCATTTCAATGTTTGGAAGGAATCAAGCCTTTTTAGCATGTCCTCATGGCCAACAGAGGGCAGTAGAGGTTGCACTCAGGCCAGTCTGCAGCAGCCATCTTAAAATTTAGGGCTCTACCTTGATGCCTTACAAAGACACAGGGTCCAAGAAATTAGATTTAAAAAAAAAAAAAAAGGTTGTTAGCCTGGAGCTATGAACATGTAAAAGTTTTTAAAGGTACTATGAGCCTTTTAGACAAGAAAATCTGTATCTTTATTCTCAAAGGAGTCCCTAATAAGGAAGTTAGGAACTGTTCTAGGGGTTAGCCATATCTGGTCACATATGGTCTTAGGGATCAGTGTATTAGTCAGTAAAAAGATCTGGCAGTAGCTAAAGGCTAAACAGATGGCACGGCCCAGGCTCAAAGAAACATCGCTTTAATAATGCGCTTGACACGTCCCCTTCAACCAGGCCGAGGTGGTAGACTTGTGTGCTCTGAAAAGGTAGTGAATCTCCAGGGACCCCAGCTCTGTTCTTGGCAAGACCACACTGAACAGACCCCTCCCCCATATCCCTTGGCTTGAATATACCTGCTGAGTGTCAGACACTCAATTCTAGCATGTGACTCAGGATGTGTGTCTGCTTTTTTAAAGCACCACTGAGCCTTGGAGCTGCCTGGAAATGTCTCCTGTGACCTCACTTTGGGTCAGGAGATTAGTGTTAATGGAGAGATCCATAGCAAGCATCTGTGAGCCTTGCCTGGTTGGTGCCTGCAGGGCTTTGCTGAGAGGTTGATAGACCCCAGGCCTGCAGATTTTGACCCCTTCCGAGGAGCGGCATTGTTGAATCACGGCTGTGGGCCTGGGAGATTGTTGTTTTCGGGTGTTCTATGTCTCTCCGTTTTTCCATCTTTCTCTGTGATTGTAGCTCTGAGTATAGAGATCTGACATTTTTCTGCGTGCCCCCCCCCCCCCCCCACCGCCTTTTTCCCTCAGTCCTCATAATCCCAGAAGACAAGACTCAGCCTACTTTATTCCTTTGTCTTGGTTTCCTGAAAACTCAAGCTCTGGCATCATTTTATGCTTTCCTGGCTCGTGTCCTCCCCTTTTCCAATTTAAGTCAGATCTCCCTGCTACAGCTGTTGACTTTCTATTTTAGAATCTTTTCCAAAACCATTTGTGGTGGACAACCTCCTGATTCCCCTTGCACTCAAAGGGCTGTAGTTAGAGGAGGAATTGGGTGTAAGGAAAGAGAGATGAGGCAAACCTCCTTATTAAAGTGCCTATTAGCCGGGCACTGTGGCATGCCTGTAATCCCAGCGACTCTGAAGGCTGAGATAACTTGAGTAATATCACAAGTTCAAAACCAGCCCTAAGTAACTCAGTGCAACTCTGTCTCTAAATAAAATATTTAAAAATGGTTGGGGATGTGGCTCGGTGGGTAAGCGTCTCTGGGTTCAATCTCCAGTATCAAAAAAATAAAGTGCCTATTAAAGGATATGGATTTGTTTACCTGTTCTGCCAGTAGCATTACCCAGCAACCAAGAAGCTGATTTTTTTCTTCTTTCCCTGCTTTTCCCTCACTGGCTCCTGACTTCATACATACTTGCAGTTCTAACTCAGTACAAACTATGAGAGAGACTACGCTTGCCTTCCAGGTGCCTGAGGCAAGGGGAAGGACACCATCCATCAAGAACTAGACACCTAACTTTAGCAGTCTTATTCAACTCCGTAGAGTCAATCGGTTACAACTGAGAGAAGCGATAGGTGATTTACTTGGATAAACTAGCAGGTGCCATCCTCCTCATAGCACCCAGGTAGAGTGGAATATTGAGGAGCCCTGATGGGGTGAAGATGGAGAACATGAATTCTTGCTTTGGATGTTGTGATAAAAATGGTGGATAATTGTAGTTTGGGTCTTATCAAGTATTCTCCTTGAAGGATAAATGTGAAGTAAGCATTGTCTATAGGAGTTCTTACTGGAGCCAGTAGCAAGTGGACTCTGGCCCTGACCATAGCCGGGCCTAAACCTAGATGACCTCCTGCAGGCACAATCACCTTCCACTTGAAACTGCCCTAGGACTGAGGAGCCCATGCAGGGTTGGCTCCATGGAGTCCTTGGAAGGCAGGGTGGCTGTTCTAGTGATCTAGCACCAAAGACTAGGGGGATTGACTAAATGAGAAGGAGGACCAGCATCCTCTGCAGAGTGCCTGTCCCAGATGAAAATCAACACGAGAAACTTTCTGCCATCCAGAAATATATAGATGGGATGGGAGAGTGTTTCTTTTTCTCTGTGGTGCAGACGTTCACTAAGCTTTATCTGGTTGTTGTCGGGTTTTTTTGTTTTGTTTTTGGTGGTCGGGGAGATAGTCAACCACTGAGCCACATCCCCAGCCCAGTTTTATATTTCATTTATATTTTATTCAGAGACAGGGTCTCACTGAGTGGTTTAGCACCTTGCTTTTTTTTTTTTTTTGCTGAGGCTGGCTTTGAGCTCCCCATCCTCCTGCCTCAGCCTCCCAAGCCACTACTGGAATTATAGGCGTGCGTCACCACTCCTGGCCTTTACCTGGTTTTCTTTTATTTATTTATTTATTTGTTTTTCGGTGGACACAACATCTTCGTTTGTATGTGGTGCTGAGGATCGAACCCGGGCCGCACACATGCCAGGCGAGCGCGCTACCACTTGAGCCACATCCCCAGCCCCTTTACCTGGTTTTCTTTTCTTTTTTTTTCTTTTTTTTTAAAGAGAGAGAATTTTTTTAATATTTATTTTTTAGTTTTCGGCAGACACAACATCTTTGAATGTGGTGCTGAGGATCGAACCCGGGCAGCATGCATGCCAGGCGAGCGCGCTACCACTTGAGCCACATCCCCAGCCCCAACCTGGTTTTCTCACTGTTTCTTCACCGACAGATACTCTGGGCTGTGTCTGAGGTATAGAATCTTAGACTTGACTGCTCCAGAGATGTATAAACTTGTTTTCTTTTGAATGTATTTGACAGCTGTCTGCCTGGATAAAGTATGTTGGCTTTCTGTCACTAAAACAAAATACCTGAGATAATTGATAAAAAGAAAAGGCTTATTTTGTCTCGTTTCAGAGGTTCCAGATCATGGATTTGTTAGCCTATGGCAAAGCAGCCTGTCATGGCAGAAGTGTGTGGCAGAGCAAAACCACTGGCCTCTTAGCCAGGAAGCAAGAGAGGAAGGAACCAGAGTCCCATAATCCTCTTCAGGGACATATTCCCAATGACCAAAGGACTTCTCACTAAGTCCCAACTCTCAGAGTTTAACCATCTGCCAGTAGTGCCACTGTGGGGACCAGGCCTTTAACACATGTGCCTTTGGGGGACATTCAAGGTCCAAACTACAGCTACAGCAGTGAGAGAAGGGATCCTGTGGTCGGCTGTTCCTTTGGGAAGGCTTCTGCCAGTCTTCCAGTTCTCAGCTCAACCCTGCCTCCTTCAGCACTTGCCAGGGTTTTTCATCAAGTTCCTCATCTTCTGGATCCTGTGGCGTTAATCATCTTGCTTCCTGCAGGCATTTAGTCTTGTGTGCCAGTCCTTCTGCCATAATGAGGTATCTATCTGCTCTCTCCTCTTCCTTCTTCCTTAAAGCTCAGAATTGGGATGAGATCCATGTACAGTGTGCCTAGGAAGCCCCAGCACCGCCAAGGGGAGGCTTCCCGAAGGATTGGCTTTTGAATCAGGTAGTAGAGATGGATTGGGATACAGGGCAGGGTATTCAAGGCAGGAAAAGGTATGAAAAACATGAACACATTCTATTCAAGGGACATTGAATAGTTTAAAAATTGGGATGGAAGGAGGAGAAACTAGAAAAAAAGGTACAGAACTGAATGACCTTGGTTTTTATTATGGTTTGGATTTTTTTTTTTTTTTTAAGTACTGGAGATTAAGCCCAGGAACACTCTACCATCCTCAACCCTTTTTATTTTGCCCAGGATTGCCTAATTTGCAATTCCCCTACCTCAGCCTCTTTCATAGCTGGGATTGTAGGTGTGAGCCACCACTCCCAGCCATGGTTTGGATCTTAAATGTCCATAGAGCTGATGTGTTGAAGGCTTGGTTCCCAGGGCAGCAGTGTTCAGAGGTGGAGGCTTTTGGGAGGCCATAGAATCATGAGGGCTCTAACTTCATAAATAGATAAATTTATTTATGGATTCAAAGCTTAATGGGTTTGGGGAGCTTTGTTTGGAAAGCAAGCTCTCTGCTTACTGGCTGCCATGAGATGAACCGTTTGTTCTACATGCACTCTCCACCACGATGTTCTGATTTGCTATGAGCCCATAGCAACAGGGCCAGGTGACCTTGGGCTAAAACCTCTGAAACTGAGCCACAATAACTTTCCTCCTTTTCAAGTTGTTTAATCTCAGGTTTATTTTTGTTTTTGTTGGCAGGGGCTACTGGGGATAGAACTCAGGGGCACTCAACCACTGAGCCACATCCCCAGCCCTCCCACCCCCACACCTTTTTTTTTTTTTTAATTTAGACACAGGGTCTAATGAGTTGATTAGTGTCGTGCCATTGCTGAGGCTGGCTTTGAACTCGCAATCCTCCTCCTCAGCCTCCCAAGCCACTGGGATTATAGGCATGTGCAGCACCACGCCCTGCTTATCTCAGGTATTTTAACACAGTGACAGCTGACCAACAGCCAGGAGTGGTGCACACCTGTAATCCCAGTGATTTAGCCAGCTAAGGCAGGAAGATCACAAGTTCGGAGCCAGCCTGGGCAACTTAGCAAGACCCTGTATCAGAAAACAAAAGGGACTTAGAGTGGTGAGCAGTGGTAAAACACCCCTGGGTTCAATCCCCAATACCAGTGGGGGAAAAAAAAAAGCTAACCAGTTTTGTGTTTCTTTTTCAAATATTTATTGAGCAATTACTGTGTGCCATAGATGATTCTAGAGGGCCATTGGGGATCAGAAGAATTTGAACTTTTATATAAAATCTTCAGTGGCCTTCAAGTGCCTACATTGAAGGATCACCTATTCTAAAGCAGTGGTTCTCGATCTGGGGTGGCTTTGACCTCCAGGGGACATTTGGCAATCCTTAGAGACATTTTTAGTTATTCAAACTGGGGTGAGCCTGTTCAGGTATGTAGAGACCAGGGATGCTTTTCAACGTCCTACAAAGCACAGAATGGTCCCCTAAACAAGATCATCCCACTCCAAAATGTCAATAGTACTGAGATGGAGAAACCTTGCTTTAAAGGATTGCTTCACGATTGCAAGAAGGGTAGATTGCCAGGCACAGTGCGGTGGAGTCCTAAAGCTATTACTAATCAAGGTGAAAAGTAAGGCTTGGAACAGTGCAGCAAGACGGGGAGGGAAGGAAGATAAGAGAGTTGGAATTGCAGCACTTCCCAGTTGACAAAGCACCTGGAGAGAAGGGTTGTGGAACTCTGCCTTGGCTAACATTAGATGTTCTCCTGTGGCTCCCATTTGGTTGGGAGATGAATATACAGTTTTGGACACTGTATGAGTCTGCAAAGGCTGCCTCACAGGTTACTACAAACTAGGCAGTTTAAACAACCAAAATGTTTTTCCTACTATTCTGGAAGCTCCAGGTCCAACTGAAGGTGCTGGCAGGATTGGTTTCTTCTGAGGCCGCTGCATGGCTTGGCTCTTACATGGCTGCCTTCTCCCTGTGTCAGACTCTGGGCTTGTCTATGTTCTAGTTTTCTCTTAAAAGGACACCAGTCATGGACCTACCTACCCATCCATATGACCTCATTTTAGCTTACTTAGCACTTTAAAGGCACTGTTTCCAAATGCAGTCATATGAGGTGTACTAGGGATTAGGGATTCAACATATGTATTTGAGGGAGAGGAGAGAAAGAAACTATTCGCCACTCAGCCCATAACAGTTATGTTGGGATTGAGGTGACTGGGGACTGGACCGTAGCACAATGAGTACACAAAGGTGCTACTTTGGA